GGGTTGGGGGGGGGTGAAGGGGCTCCTGGCTCAGGGACTGCTCATGCCTCCGACTTCTTTCCTCCTCCAGGGTTCCCTGGGGCCAATGGCTTTAGAAACTGTGAGTTGGACCCAGGGGACAGAGTACAGGGGGTAGGGGAAGGGACATCCAAGGGCTGGTCAGGAGTGAATCACATGGATCTCTTAAAGGGTATGGCGAGGAAGCACTGGTGTACCCCAAAGCCGCAGCTCCAGCCTCTGAAGAACATGGTAAGAAATGAGAGTTCGGGCCCGGCCGGGCGTGGCTCAGTGGTTGAGCATCGACCTAGGATCCAGGTGATCAGGGTTCTATTCCCGGTCAGGGCACATGCCCGGGTTCCGGGCTAGCTGATCAATGACTCTCTCATCATTGATGTTTCTATCTCTCCCTCTCCTTTCCTCTCTCTGAAATCAATAAAGATATATTTAAATAAAAAAAGAAGAAAAAGAAATGAGAGTTCAGGGAGCAGAGTGAACCCTGGCAAGGGCTGTTGGGACAAGGCCAAGTGGGTAGGAGACCCTGAGGCCCTGGGAGGACTGGGGCATTCTGGGTGTTCAGGTCCGGTGGGCAGTGGTTCCCATTTCAGCTCTCCTCCTGCAGGTCAGACTGAGGCTCTGAGGGGCTCTCCTTGGCCCTCCCTCCAGCCTTGGGGGGCTGTCTTAAAGCCTGGATATGGGGCCAGAGGCGCATACCCAGGGGTTGAGAGTCAGCCAGGTAATTGGGTGTGTGGAAGAACATTGTTGGGGGGATGAAGGGTGGCTTTAGGGAGCTGGGTCCTGGGCCCAGGCCCACCCCATAGCCCTACAGAGATGGAGGGGACATTCATGGTGGAAGGAATATGAGGGGGACAGGAATGGATGGAACTGGAAGAGGGATAGGTAGAGCAGGGGTCCCTGAGCATGAACCTGGCACTGGGACTAAGATGGGGAGGTGACAGACCAGAACAAGGGCCATCGGGAACTCAATGTTCCTACCTTCTGCCCCCCCCCCCCCAGGGCCCTATGGACAGCTGAGGCCAGAGCTGGGCCCCAGGCCCTTTGGTAAGTAGGGGTCTCCCAAGGCCTGAGCTGAAGCTGGGGGGAACACTCAAAAGTTCTGTGACCTAGGTCCACTGGCTTGTCTGTCTGTACCCTAGGGGGCCCTGAGGTGAAGAGAGGCCCCAGTGGCCCACCGGAAAATGGCTATGGAGGTGAGAGGGAGCACACTGGTCCCGTCCCCCACTCTTCCCATGCCACCACTGTCACCCCTTCAAGCTGCACTTGGGGATGCCCCCAGCTTTTTGGAGGGATGGCAGGCTCTCAGACCTTGTTTTGTTGTCTGCTGAGTGACTGACCTCAGATATAAGAGGAGGGAGAGGGCTCAGTTTCCCCCAAGAGGTGAGGAGGGGACACCTCACCAGGGCTCTGCTCTGCCTCTTCCCAGGCCGCTGCCCTCTTGGGAAATGCTGAGCACCTGAGCTGATCCACTGCCCACCCTGAGTGCCTCTGTACCAGAGCCTGGTCTGCTTGGCAAGGACAGCCAGGCCCCTTGGGCTTGGTCTCTGGCCTAGGGCCTCCTACGGGCTGGAAGTATTAATAAAGGCCATGTGCTTCCCTGTTTGCCTTTGTGTGCCGTGGGGGGGGGG